AAAAAAAAAAAAAAAATTCCAGAAAGAGATTAGATGCTCTGTTTCTAGATTTAAACAAACAAACAAAAAACTGGCAATTACAAGCACCTTCATATAGTCTCATGAAATTTATTTCTTATAATTACATGAAGCAGTCTCATTCCTTTACATTATGTGTCAGCAAGGCCATGCAAATTTGTGGTTGCCTTTTATACATAAGACAAATTATGTTTAGACATCACAGGAGAGAGATCAGCAAAGAATTGCAATGATGTATTTAATGGACCACTACTTTCCATTGGATTTATTTATTCTCAAAATGGTTTTTTAGACTCGTGTAAAGAAGAGTTAACAGCAGGCCTGAGGCTGCTATCTTTAGAAGACCCTGCTTACAGGGTTAGTTCTTGGCTGGTGTCTGGGAACACAGCTTTCGGAATGTGTGGACCATTACTAAACGATAAAGTCCTTTCGCTGGGCTTACGCCGTCCAACAAACAATGCGATCTACGGTGAACACCTGCTTTCCCTTTGGCAGTCTGAAATTTTGGTGGTTGCTAGGTAGAAAATGCCTATGTGACCAGCCCCAGAAATATCCCTAAACTCTGAAACTCAAACTGGCTCCTTTGGGCAGAAACATCACATATGCATAGTTACGTTTTCGCTGCTGGAAGGAAGGTGACCTCTATGTGACTTATCACAGGAAAGAGAGAGCATAGGAAATGTGCAAATGAATTTCTCCAAATTCTACTTATCCTTCCCATTATTGATCTTGCTGTGCATGTTTACTTTGCCACCGTAATAAATATTAGCTATAAGGCCGGGCATGGTGGCTCATGCCTATAATCCCAGTACTTTGGGAGGCCGAGGCACATGAACCACCAGTGGTAAGGAGTTCAAGATCAGCCTGGCCAACATGGTGAAACCCCGTCTCTACTAAAAATACAAAAATTAGCTGGGCGTGATGGCAGGCACCTATAATCCCAGCTACTCAGGAAGCTCAGACACAAGAATCACTTGAACCCAGGAGGTGGAGGTTGCAGTGAGCCAAGACTATGCCATTGCACTCCAGCCTGGGCAACAAGAGCAAAACTCCATCTCTAAATAAATAAATAAATAAATATTAGCTATAAGTACAGCTATATTCTGATTACTTCCAGCAAATCACCAAAGTGTGGGCAGTCTTAAGGGGACCCACTAAACAAGATTCTTAGTTTGATTTTGCATGTATTTTTGAATAGCTCATGAAAATCTAAAAAATACTGTCCTGAAGCTACTATGCCCTTGAACTGACCACTACAAGTCTAAAACCAGGTGGAATTGATCTTCCTAACTGCTGCCATTTTGTAGATTATGAAGTAGCTGAGAATTTAGCTCACTAGCTGTAAATCCCAAAATAATATTCTTATTTTAACTTCCCAGGACTTAAAAATTAAATGCTCTCCACTAGGCAGAATGCAGAAGTTACAGCTCAGGTACCCTTGACTCAAAGCCAAGGATTTTTACACTTCATGCTTTAAAGACACTGGGTGTACACGTGCCATACAGTTGAATATCATCAGAGCTAACTTCTGGGAAAGGAAGTCATTATTCTAGTGTTTGTATTCCTTGTCACATTTGTTTAGTGTTGATTACAAGCAGTAATCTTGTTTGATAGAAACACAGCCCCAACTCAGCTCACATTAGAGCATGGTATCAGAGCAGTCATTTGCTTTTCAAAGCTCACTAATCCCATGGAGCTGGGCAGAGAGGAGCTGAAGTGCAAGGTTCCTCTGGAATCCTGGTATCTGTCACTGGATTAATTCATAGTCACCATCCTTAGTTGGAAAACTCACTGAAATGTGTACTCCCCTCCTACGTGCATTTATTACTTTAATGGGTAATGAACAACCCTGTGTGCAAGGGAGCCAGGGAGACAAAGATAAATAAGATGTTGGCTGGCCTTAAGGAATGCTTCAGTTTGTGGCTGATACACATAGGAATTCCCTCAGTGCCATGGAAGCCTACTAGTCAGCTATAACTCCAATGCCAGCATCAGAATATGGTTATAAGATCTTTCCTTCTCTCTGAAATAAATTATATCTTGCTCAGAAGTCACTAGCAATCAGTTGGTTTTTTCATAAACTAACGGGAATGTTTTTTTTGTTTTTTGTTTTTTGTTTTGAGATGGGTCTTGCTCTGTCACCCAAGCTGGAGTTCATGGAGTGCAGTGGTGCAATCTCAGCTCACTGCAATCTCTGCCTCCTGGGTTCAAGTCATCCTCCTGCCTCAGCCTCTTTAGTAGCTGGGACTACAGGCATGTGCCACCAGGTCTGGTTAATTTTTGTACATTCAGTAGAGACGGGGTTTCACCACGTTGGCCAGGCTGGTCTCGAACTCCTGACCTCAGGTGATCCCACCCACCTTGGCCTCCCAAAGTGCTGGGATTACAGACATGAGCCACTGCACCCTGCTAGAAGCTTTACCCGGCACCACCACCCCCATGTGGGAATTGGCAGGCCATAAAAAACAAAGGTGGGCAGTCCACACGAGCCAGATGGGATTTGTATATTAGTCAGTATTTGCAAACAGCTAGATAGTTACAAGTGAATTATTTCACCCAGCCATCTATGTTGTCCCACTATCACCTTCCTTTCAGTGTGAGAATCTAAAATAATGGGAATTGTAAAATGGCCACAAAGGGTCACAGCGCACATCTGACATGGGAGCACACAAGGATGTCCAATTTGTGGCATAAGCCACAGAACACAGGAAGCAGTCTCAGAACACAGGAAGCTCTTCTTCAGATGAAATCTCTTGCAGAACCACGGCACATGAGCCAGATAAAGTGGAGCTGCTCAGCTGAAGCCGGAAAGAGCCCAGAGTCTCCACGGCCTGCTCCTCGCAGCAGCCCAGACTCCAGCTCCGAGGGCACAGTTTGAAAGTCAGTGCACTGGTTCACGACTGAAAGGGGTGAACATTAATTCAGTAAGATGCCCAAAGTGCAAAATATGTGAAGCTGTTCCCATATGAACACACAGCGAAAGGAAGTGCTAGAGAGCTGTGAGCTTCTCCTAGCAGGTAATGACACAAATAAGCAGGCTTGTATAACAAGCACACACATGCACACCATACACAAATCCTGGCAGCCCTCAATGGCAACACTGCAAGTGTTGTTTGCCAGAAGGAGGGTTGGCAGTGGTAGTCTTCTAAACAACATATATCTGGTTATTACGGCAGTAACCCCTATCAAATCTATGATATGCTGGCTGGTTACTTCAGCTTTTAAAGTTATTAGGTACAATATTCTTGGATGAGAAGAAATAAAAATAAACTCTCCCCAAACTAGTATTTAAATGTAATGAAATTTCAGAGAGGCACAGTGGCTCATGCCTGTAATCCCAACTGGGAGGCCGAAGCAGGCAGATCACTTGAGGTCAGGAGTTCAAAACCAACCTGCCCAACATAGTGAAACCCTGTCTCTAATAAAAACACAAAAATTAGCCGGGCATGGTGGCGCACACCTGTAGTCCCACCTACTTGGCAGGCTGAGGCAGGAGAATCTCTTGAACCCAGGAGGTGGAGGTTGCAGTGAGCCGAGATTGCTCTACTGCACTCTAGTCTGGGCAATAGAGCAAGACCCTGTCTCTAAATAAACAAATAAATGTAATAAATTTCCATTTTAAAAAAATATCCCTAAGGATTTTTTATTCAAACTTGATTTTTAAAAATCATTGTACAGGCTGGGCACAGTGGCTCATACCTATAATCCCAGCACTTCAAGAAGCCAAGGGGGGAGGATTGCTTGAGGTCAATAATTCAAGACCAGCCTGGACAATATACGGAGACCTTGTCTCTACAAAAATAATAAATTTTAAAAATTAGCCAGGCATGGTGGTGTGTGCCTGTAGTCCTAGTTATTTGGGAGACTGAGGCAGGAGGATTGCTTGAGCCTAGGAGTTCAAGGCTGCAATGAACTATGATTGTGCCAATGCACTCCAACCTGGGTGACAGAGCCAGACCCTGTCTCTAAGAAAATAATAAATAAATAACAGTTTGCCTGGAAGAATAGCAAAATACATTAAAAATTTTAATAATGGTGGAAGTAGGATCGATAAGGTCTAGATTTATACTAACACTATGAAAATGAAAAGGATGGTAAAAGTTCAGGTGTAAGAAATAAAACCATCAACAGAACAAAATAGAAATCCCTGAAACAAAGTCAAATTACTCAACTCATTGGCCAAATCCTAGCCTCACAGATTCCACTGAAAATAAAATCCATATAGATTACAAGCTATAAAACTGAAACCATAAAAGTACTAGAGGAAAACACAGGGGTTATTATTTACATAATCATTCCATAAGGAAAGATGTTAGGCATGAGACTAAAGGCAGAATCCACAAAAGTAAAATATTTGACTACATACATTTTTTAAAAACATAAAAAAGGACTAAACTCTTTAGGGAGAATAAAAACTACCATTAACAACTTGGAAGGAAGGCAAAATCACCATGAAAAATATTTGCAGCCTAACAAAGGATTAATGACCTTTATACATAAAGAGCTTACCAATAAGTAAGGAAAACAATACAATACCAAAATCAAGAAAAGATATGAACAAGCTATTCACAAAACAAGGAGCCAAGAAACATATAAAATATTCATATACATTAATCAAAGAATCAACAAAAGAAAATCTTTTCACTTATCAAATGAAAAAAATTTCTAAAATAATATCCAGTGTCATCATGATTTGGAAAGCTGACATATTACTACTGTAGGCGTAATTAAATTATTTTCATGAAGAGGAGAAAATTAAGAGAATAAAACTGACTCTTCACATAAAAAAAATTCTATAATGGCATTGATTTTTGTAAGAAACCCTAAGATGCTAATACTATGCATCTTGTTTTATTGCTAAGATCAGTAAGCTGGTTACCTGGGAGACAGTCTGCAACCCTGCTGCAAGTAGGCATTCAGGTTCCCAGTTGCCGCAAGTAAGAGCCCCAGGTACGGAGGGGAAGGCTTCATCGGCCTAGAAGTAAACTCAGGATGGAACTGGACACCAACAAAATAGGGATGATCTGAAATGAGAACAATCATGATGTGATTAAAGCAGACAAACATGAGAACTGCTTTAAAGGTCTTCTTATCTTTGAACATAAAAGCTCATTAAATGGCAAGATGATTCTTTAACCTATCATTATAGTCAGTTCCTTATACTATCCATCCATTCCTGCGTGGAATTTCAAATTGTAAAACACATCTTGGAAATTTTATATGTGGAAGGTGTCAGAGTGAGCAAAGTCAAGCAAAAATTTTTGAATGGCAAGAAGAACTCTGCTTTCCCAAAATCTGCCTGCTTTTTGAAGGCACTTTGTAGTTTTATATTGGTTCGATTTCCCTTGGACTTTAAGCTAACCCTGGGTCTTTCTTTCCTTTACGTGGCTTCAGGCCATTTCCTGCAAGGTCTTCTCCTTTCCCCTGGTATAAACCAGTACAATATCAACCCATTGAGCTATCCTTGGGAATACAGCAGGGCAACTGCTTTTCTAGTCACAGCTTTAAGTTGGGTATTAATCATAGCACCATAAAACTGAGCATTTTTTGGACAAAGTGATTCAGAGCAATGATCCATTCATTCAAATATCCTGTCCCTGGCTATGACTCAAACTAAAGATAATAAAATATAGTAAGTTTTAGAGGGGGAAGAAAATATAACTTTAAAGGTTTCAATGAGGTACTTTATCAAATGATCTAAAATCTAGTATGGAATTCAAAATCACAAATTCCTATCACTTACCACCAAAGATCCAAAGCTACTACTACAGTAATAGGGAAATGATGACTGAATGCAAATGTCTACTTTCCTAAGGTAATCATTTAAAGCCCTGCTAGAATGGCTATTATTAAAAAGTCAAAAAACAACAGATGCAGGCAAGGCTGTGGAGAAAAGAAAACCTACTATTGGTGGGAATGTAAGTTATTTCAGCCACTGTGGAAAGCAGTTTGGAGATTTCTCAAAGAATTTAAACCAGAATTACCATTTAACTCAGCAATCCCATTACTGGGTATATACCCAGAGGAAAACAAATCACTCTACAAAAAAAGACACATGCACTTATATGTTCATGGCAGCAGTATTCACAATAGCAAAGACATGGAATCAACTAGATGCCCATCAATGGTGGATTGGATAAAGAAAATGTGGTACATATATACCATGGAATAGTATGTAGCCATAAAAATGAAACCATGTCCTTTGCAGCACCATGAATGCAGCTGGGGGCCATTATTCTAAGTGAATTAACATGGGAACAGAAAACCAAATACTGCATGTTCTCACTTACAAATGGGAGCTAAACATCAGGTACTCATAAAGATAGGAACAATAGACACTGGGAACTACCAGAGTGGGGACGGAGAGGGGAGTGCAAGAGTTGAAAAACTATCTGTTGGGTACTCTGGTCAGTACTTGGGTAATGGAATCCATATCCCAAACCTTAGCATCACACAATATACCCATGTAACAAATCTGCACGTGGGCCAGGCACAGTAACTCACACCTATAATCTCAGCTCTCTGGGAGGCTAAGGTGGGCAGATTGCTTGAGCCTGGGAGCTCAAGACCAGCTGGGCTAACATGGTGAAACCCTGTCTGTACAAAAAATACAAAAATTAGCTGGGCGTGGTGGCGTGCACCCATGGTCCCAGTTACTTGGGAGGCCAGTTACTTGGTGGGAGAATCACTTCGGCCCAGGAGGTGGAGGTTGCCACGAGCCATGATCATGCCACTGCACTCCAGCCTGGGTGACCAAGTGAGACCCTGTCGCAAAAAAAAAAAAAAAAAAAAAAAAAAAAAGTCTGCACATATACTCCTGCATCCAAAATGAAAGTTGAAATTATGTTTTTTTAAAAAGCTCTACTATGGAAAATGGTAGCCACTAGCCACACGTAGCTACTTAAATTCATTAAAATTAATTGAGCATTTGAGACATGTTCAAAGTCACATGTGGCTAAAGGCTACCATATTGGATAGGGCTGACTAGTTCTATCATTGCAGTGAGTTTTTTTAATTTTTTCTTTTTTAACGAAAAAAAGAAAAAATTAAAAAGGTTTTAATTTTAATTAAAAAAGGTTTTTACATTGCAGTGAGTTCTATAGGACAGCTCTGATCACAGAAAAATCCAGTGTAGAAATCCTCTACATCTAAGAAGAAACCTCCTTGAATTAGAGGAACATACAGGTAAGAAAGCCTGATAAGGGGAATGCCACCTTGTCCTAGGAATGTATTCCCTCAAGAAATGCAGAGAAGTCATCCACTTAGAGAAGAAATTAAGCAACGTAGCTTTAAATTTAAGAGACAATAAATCTTACTCCAGAACATCTAGGGACATCTTTGGGAAAAAAAAAGCAGGCAGTAATTGTGCTTTCATACCTCTACAGACGGACTAAGCAATGTAATCATGTAATAGCCAGGGACAGAATATGTGAATGAATGGATCATTGCTCTGAATCACTTTATCCAAAAAATCCTCTACACCAATATGAGGGGAAACTAAAAAGCTTTTATTTTGATGATGTTCTATCAGCCAGATAAAGTTGTCTTTAAAATAATGCTTTTGATTGCTTTAAACCAAATTCTGAAGTTATATAATATTAATCTCAAGCTTTGTTGTTCCTGTCAGAACCCTTCAGGAACAGTGGAGATTCATGGATATGTTTCCAAGGGGTACCTAAGATCAAAATCTTCTGGGGAATTTTCCTTAATAACTGCTTGCGGTCAGCTTTTAAAAACTGCAAGGTTTTACAGCAGCTCTCATTTCCTTTTCAATCCACATGAAATTTGAAAGCCTCAATGGGAGTCTAAATCCTTATGATAAAAGAAGCTTCTAAGTATTTGATGACAGTAATGAGAACCAGGAGAATTAAAAGTGAATAAGTACTTAAACAAAGTAAACAAATAGTAATTTGCTTAAGAAATTTTCTGCCTTCTCACATGCTAGGAAGATTTAAGAGGCTTCAATGCCAACAGCAAGATCCACATTTTAATTCTAAATGATGGTCATTTCCATCAGAAAAACTCCTGGAAATGCATACTTACTATTCTAATTCAAAACTCTAAGCATGAATTCATCACCTTAGGTAGAATGTGAAAACAAGCAGAATAATAAAATCCCACAGCAGTGGTGGCAGAAGGAGGTAACCACCTGGGTTTGCTCTTGCCCCACAAGACTAGCTGGATGGCCCTGGGCCTGTCATTTAGCCTCTTTGCACCCTGGTCTCCTCGGTGAAGTGGGAATAGCATCACCTGTTTTGTTAGTTACATAAGGTAAGCAAAGTCCCTAGCAAGAGGTCTACTGACAAGCATCCAGTAAGTGCACACTAAATGTCCATTGCTTTCCTTCTTTCAGGTCTAGGTAAAATGCTGCTCTGTTCAAAGAAGCCTTCTCAGACTTCAATTCTCCCCTCTGCTCAGGACTCTAGAAGTACATGAACAGATCAGAGACAAAAAGGGAAAGAGACAGAGAAAAGAAGTGATGAATAGTGCTAAGATGGAGAAAGAAGAGGGAGGTTAGAAGATGCGGTAGGTAATCCAGTTTATCTGGAGCCTAAAGCATATAGGCTGGAAGTGTAGGTTCTGGAACACCACGCTACCATTTTTTACAGTATCCTGCACACATTTGTACCAATATACGAGAGTGGTTTATCCAACAAATTAGTGTCACTACACACTGCAGAGTTCTGTCCTTGTTAGGCAGTATAGGAGAAGCGGTGCTTGGAAGCAGGAAGGAGATTGAGGACAAGTGTGAGCTGGGGTTGGCATGCACTGGGACTAGTGTTTTAGGGGGAGCAATGCAATTCCAAACACCAGCTTTCCTTTCAGAGGCAGAATCTGCAGGACTTGACAATCCACTACAAGTTGGGATCTGAAGGGGAAGACGAGCTAATATTTGAAATTTCTAGCCTGATAGTCTAGTAGAATGATTCTCCACCAGGGGCAAATGTGCCCCCACCCCGGGACTTTCTTTCTTTCTCTCATTCTCTCTCCCTCTCTCTTTTTTTTTTTTTTTTTTTTTTGAGATAGGGTCTTGCTCTGTCACCCAGGCTGGAGTGCAGTGGAATGATCATGGCTCAAGAGATCCTCCTACCTCAGCCTCACGAGTAGCTGGGACCACAGGCACGAGCCACCATGCCCACCTAATTTTTTAATTTTTTTGTAGAGAGAGGGTCTCACCATGTTGCCCAGGCTGGTCTGGAACTCCTGGTCTCAAGTAATCTTCCCACTTTGGCCTCCCAATGTGTTGGTATTACAGGTGTTAGCCACTGCACCTGGCCCACCAGGGGCATTTGATGATGTCTGGAGATATTTTGGGTTGTCACAACATTGGCCACATGAAGAAGAATTGTCTTGGGCCACACATAAAATACACTAACACTAATGATAGCTGATGAGCTAAAAAAAAAAAATGCAAAAGAATCTCATAATGTTTTAAGAAAGTTTACGAATTTGTGTTGGGCGGCATTCAAAGCCGTCCTGGGCTGCATGCAGCCCGCGGGCAGTGGGTTGAACAAGCTTGCTCTACAGTGCACAGGACAGCCTCCACAACAAAGTATTATCCCACTCCAAATGTCAATCAACAGTGGCAAGGCTGAGAAATCCTGGACAGTGAGACTGATGACATCTTAACAGAAACAGTCAGGAGAATGAACTAATAGGGAGAGCATGTAAATTTAGTTTTAAATAAGTTGAGATGGAAGTGTCAAGAGAACATCCAAATAGACAAATAGGTCAAGGAGGCATGTGAAAATGTTAAATTCAAGTTAGTTAAATGAAGTGTATGCGTGTGAGTCTAGCCCAGGAGTTAGCAAATGTTTCTGTAAAGGGTCAATATTCTGTAAAGGGTAAATATTTCAGGCTTTGTGAGCCATAAGGTCTCTTTCTTAACTATTCATCTCTGCCATGGTAGCATAAAAAACAGCCATAGGCCAGATGCAGCTGTTCATGAGATTACATTATGCCTGTAATCTCAGCATTTTGGGAGGCCAAGGAGGGAAGATGCCTTAAGCCCAGGTGAGACCAGCTTAAGCAACATGGCAAAACCCTGCCTCTACAAAAAATTTAAAAATTGGCCAGGCGTGATGGCTCACCCCTGTAATCCCAGCAATTTGGGAGCCCAAGGTGGGAGGATCACAAGGTCAGGAGTTCAAGACCAGCCTGGCCAACACAGTGAAACCCCATCTCTAATGAAAAAAACACAAAAATTAGTCGGGAGGCTGAGGCAGGAAAATTGCTTGAACCCAGGAGGTGGAGGTTGCAGTGAGCTGAGATTGTGCCACTGAACTCCAACTTGGGCAACAGAGTGAGACTTCATCTCAAAAAAAAAAAAGTTAGCCAGGCAGGGTGATGCACACCTGTGGCCCCAGCTACTCAGGAGGCTAAGGTAGGAGGATTGTTTGTGCCCAAGAGGTCAAGACTGCAGTGAGCCATGATCATGTCACTGTACTCCAGCCTGGGTAACAGAGCTAGACCCTGTCTCAAAGACAATAAAAATAAAAAGCAGCCATAGACAAGACATAAATCAATGAGTGTTGCTGTTGTCAGGGCTCAGAAAACGCTACCCTAAAGTACTTTGAACAGAAGGCGACTAGGAAGACCTCCGAAGCAAGAAGGTCACTCTGATGTTCTCCCACCTTTCCGTGTGAAAGCTGGCCATAAAGAAATTCTCTGAACTACCTACCTTTCCTAAAAGTAGGTCATAAAACCCTCATTCCAGATGAATCCTGCTCTAGACCTGGGGGAATGGGATGCTACAGAGAGAGGCCAAGAAGAATCTGAGCAGACAGGCCTTTCTGGGTTTCCCGTCAGTCTGTTACCATTAGAGTATGCCCTTTTGTCCAATCACATTGCTACATGGCTGTCCACTGTTCAACGAACCTAAGATAAAAATGAAGTTTTCCCTAGGTCTTTGGGTCTTCATTCCTGAAAACTCACGTGTCGCATAAAACTTTGACTATATACATTTGTTATACTTTTCTCTTGTCAACCTGTCTTGTTATAGGGCTGTTGGTCATGACCTTTATGATGGGTAAGAAGAAGGTCACAGATAACACCTTTCCACCCCTAAACTGTGTTCCACTAAAACTTTATTTATGGACACAAATTTGAATGGCACATAATTTGCACATGTCATAGGCAGTCTTCTTTTTAAAATTTTTTTAACCATTAAAAAATGTAAAAAATCATTTTCAGCTCATAAGCTTGCTGTAAACAGTAGGCTGAACATGGTGCACAGGCAATAGTTTGCCAGCCCCTGGGCTAGAACATCAAGACAAAGAGCTGAGACCAGCTGTGACCATGAGCTTACCATGTCCTTGCAAAGATGATTGAGAAGAACACTGCCTTCTGTCTCATCAATAATAAATGTGTAGTTTGTGCCTATGTGCTCACAGGTGTTCCAGCCTAGTTACTAACAACAACTTTGGTGTTCTTCTGATGCCTTTATTTCTGTTCTGTTTGGTCTTAAAAAGAACTCTGGCGACAGTGAGTAGTGTTCAGAAGTTAAATGACTGACCCATGCTTGACCACCCAGCACAGTGGAGAAAGGCAGGAGAGAAGCCAGGTCCCTCACGTAACAGATATCAGCATTAAATGAGGTGGCACTTGGCTATTCTTCCATAAAGGAGGAGAGCAGGCAGGGTACCATTCAACAGTGCCACTCTGCCTTTCCCAGAGCACCTAACCTAGAGGCTGGCACAAACAAGTAGCCTCAGAAAGACAGGAGTTGGTAAGGAAGCATACTGCTTGTAGAACTGGTAGGCTTGGAATAATACATCATTTTATGGTGTAGTCAGACTAATAGGCCCCAAAATGATTAGGATTATAAGCAGTCTGTATTTTTGAGACCAAGTCTTGCTGTTGCCCAGGCTGGAGTGCAGTGACACAATCTCTGCTCACTGCAACCTCTGCCTCCTGGATTCAAGCAATTCTCCTGCCTCAACCTCCTGAGTAGCTGGGACTACAGGAGCACACCACCATACCTGGCTAATTTTTGTATTTTTAGTAAAGATGGGGTTTCACCATGTTGGCCAGCCTGGGCTTGAACTCCTAACCTCAGGTGATCTGCCTACATCGGCCTCCCAAAATGTTGGGATTAAAGGCATGAGTCACCATGCCTGGACAGCAGTCTGGTTTTTTTCACGTACTTTGTAATTACATATTTATTTCAAAGGAGAGAAGAAAAGAAAGAATGCAAACAAACTGGGTCTCAAATTAATCTGTTGTCAACCAAAAGACAGGTAACCAGGAAGCTTTTCAAAAATGAAAAGCCCACTTACTTGCCAGTTCAATGATTTCCATCCTCTCTCCATCAACATCCTGACCTACAAATTTTAAGTCATTCTCCTCAAATTCGTTGATCATGTTAGGGTTTACCTGCAAAACAAGAAATTAAGTGTTTTGGGGCCATAGAGCAATACCAGCTCCCATACCCGGTCCTTCATCAGTTGGGTGGGTTTCCTGTTTCAGTGATCCTCTAACTAGTAGTTAATGTCAATATTCAATGCTCAAAGTCAATTTTAAACTTATGATGAACCTAAGATATAAAATGTAACCACAGCACCTAAATCTGGGAGGCCCACCCTCTATTACCCAAAGAAGAGATTCAAAAAGTAGACCTCTGACCCAGATATTCTGACTTGGGAACTTTGAGACTAGTTATTTATAGCCATTTCCACGTTTGCTTCTTCCCTTGAGTTATGTGTACTTACCTATCTCTCCCCAAACCACAAATTTTCTTGAGGATTAAAACTACCTTATTTCCCTTGTGACTAACCCCAGTGCTTTTAAAAGCTCTGAAGATAAGATTGGAGCAAGTTTTCTACTAAAATATCATAATAGATGGCAACTTGACAGCCTGGCTTGTGGCCCCTTCTGGCCCTCATCTCATCTGAGCCCTGTACCAAACTTAAGGCTTCCTTTTCAGCCTCTCCTTCAGTGAAATTGTTTCCCTGTCTAAAATTAAGGTGGGGTCTCACCTATTCTTTGCAATCTTAACCTCAGAGCTTTTATTCTACATTTTAATTATACCAGTTCTCATAATTTGTAATGATTTTTCCTTCCTCAACAGCTCTAAGACATAATTCACATACCATACAATTCACCTATTTAAAATACACAAACGATTTTTCATATATTCAGATGTGTGCAACCATTACCACAATCAACTGAAAAACAAACCCTCTATCCTTTAACCTCCTCCCTCAACCCCTGCCCCCGCCATCACCCTGACCTGATCTCTTGGCAATCACTAATCTATATCCCACATCTATAGATCTGTCTATTCTGGTCATTTTATATTAATATAATCATGCAATATGTGGGCTTCTGTGTCTGGCTTCTTTCACGCAGCATGATGTTTGCATGGTTTATCTATGTTGTAGCATAAATCAGTACTTCATTTCCTTCTATGGCTGAATAATACTCCATTGTATGAATAGACCACACGTTGCTTATCTATTCACCAGTTAGTAGACATCTTAGTTGTTTCTGATTTTTTGGCCATTATGGATATTGCTGCTATGATCATTCAGGTACAAGTTTTTGTGTGGACATACATTTTCGTTTCTCTTGGGTATATATCTAGGAGAGGAACTGCTGGGTCATATGGTAATTCTTATGTCTAACCTTTTGAGAAACTTCCATATGGTTTTCCAAAGGGGCTGCAATATATTCCATTCCAACCAGCAGCACATGGAGGTTCCAGTTACCCCACATCCTCTCCATCACTTGCTATTATTATCTGTGTTTGATTATAGCCAGCTTAGTGGGTGTGAAGTGGAATCTCTTTGTGGTTTGAATATGTATTTCCCTGATGACAAATGATTGTTGAGCATCTTTTCAGGTGCTTATTAGTTATGTGTATATCTTCTTTGAAGAAATATCTATATCATTTGCCATTATTTGTTATTGAGTTATAAGAGCTCTTCATATATTTTAGATACAAGTCGCTTATCTAATATATGATTTAATCTGTAATTATTATGTTATCTTATTTTTTGTCCTCTCCATTAGAATATAAGCTCCCTAACAAGAAAGGAGACCATGTCTGTCTTTTCTCTTTCCATCTCCAGTGCATACCAGATGCAAAATAGGTGTGAATGAATGAATGGCTACGCTGTCCTGTACATAGCAGTTCTTGCACCTTGTCATTACCATTGAGGCAAAGCAGCTCAATAATTTTTATCCCACCAGTTGGGGCCATTCCCAGTGGAAATAAGACCAAAAATGGCCTACACCTAGCAAATTATGTTCCTTGGTCACAGTGACACTGTTCATTACTTATTCAGCATTGATTCCTATGAGTTCTCCTTCAAAACAGAGCCCTAGGCTTGTCCTGATATCCGCTCCACCCCTATATGAACCAGGAAACTCCATCTGTCCCATTCCAGAAATTGGTTCTAACTGGTCTAAGCCAAACATAATTAACCCATCCCTTTTGAAAGATGAACATTTCAGGAACCCAGGTATAAGCCCACTGATGTTCAGGATTGCCCTGAAAGATGGCTACTAGTTCACAGGTGGGCAGGTAATCTAAGTTGATTTCCCTATTTGGGAGAGATACCTGTTGTCCCAGATGCTGCTGGCAGCCACCTGGGAACTGTGAGGGAGACCAGCTAAAGGACGAAGCACACACACAAACAAGGGTAGGGCTGAGATAACCACAGAGACAAAAGGAGCCCTGGTTGTACCATGCCTGGAGCCAGCCCAGCCTCTGGACTACCTGGTGCCTGAGACAACAAATTTCCTTAATGTTTAGGCTGGTTTGAGTGATAACAAGCAGGGATTTCTGTTCTTCACAGTGAAATGCATCATAATTGACACACTCATTAATCCTGACATATATGATCTACATTTCTGGAAACCTATGCTTCTCATGAGGCAACCTCAACAATTAACTCATTTTAGTCATGTGACACTAAGCCTCAAGCTCCATGTAAATTTCCAAAGAGGTTCTCAAACCAGGAATCCACCTTGTGATACCCAAGGATGCACCCCCAACCCAAAAGGCACCTGGTTCCATCTCAGAAGATTCAAGTCCTCTTTTCCCCAAACCTGGCAAAATAAAGGGTAGGGGCTAAGGATAAGAAATGATGACCTTATCATGATCTAGAAGATGGCAGTTAAGAGTAACAAAGGACACTGATAGGCCCCGTGTGTAGGTACGTAAAGATTTTGCCTTTGGAAAGCCAAAAAGATGAGAGTCTCCCCACCTCCGCCCGCCTCCTCCAGAAGTGGGAGAATGTGGGAAATTTGGCCCTTTCTGAGCCTGTGAATACCACCAGGCTAGACACCTTTCCCAGAGGTTCAGCTTATAGTCACTGGGTTCCTCACACTAAGCATCCATATTCCCCAGTAATTCAGCATGAAAGCCATACCTCGTACCGATGTCTGTGTCTCTCTTCTATAAAAGGAACACCACCATAAAGTTTCCCTGTAAAGATACAAGAGTGAGATTAATATTAGAGTAAGCAGTTTTGCAAGCACATCCATGACACTTTGTGGACCAAGGTGCTTGGATCGCTATCTGTCTATTTGAGGCCTAAAAACAAACTAATAGACTCCACATAGTCATCTAGATTTTCTTCTTTTCTAGTAGAGGATGGAGATAGCTTCTTTGAAACCCTGAAGCAATTCTCAAGTAAGCCATTACCATTACATAAAAGGAAGCCAGATGCCACACAAGTCCACCATGGAATCCAGCAAATCTACCCTCCTTATATACGTCTGCCTGTGGGACCAAGAGATGGTTATGTCTGCACCATCGCTCAGTACAGATTTGTAATGAGGCTCATTTACAAAGGAAGAAAATAAAACTGGGGGCAGGGAAGGGACTTGCTCAAAGCCCTGCCCTACTGGGCAGCAGAGCCAGTTCTTGAGCCCAAGCTCCTCACACCTGGCCCAATGCTTTCTCCACTCCACCAGCCACCTCCAGATTTTCACATACTACTGACCACATTCAAAATGTACCCCACCTTAAAAATGTACCTGTCTTATGATCCTACAATTTGACTTCTCAGAATTTATACCAGAAAACAGAAATGAGGACAAAGATTTAACCACAAAGATGTGTACTGCTGCTTTATTTAATAGCAAACAATCGGAAGCAAGCTGAGCATCAAGAATAGAAGAATTGGTGGATTAAACGATAGCACATCTATGCCAATGGCTCTTAACCAGGAGTGTGTGGCTGAGAATCATCTGGGGAGCTGCCTAAACATGGCTATGTAGCTGAGGCACTGCAGCTAACTGCAGAACCCTGGGCATGACCAATGTGACGATGGGCACGGTGATCAGAGAGCTGCCTAGTGACTGCAGTGTCAAGTGAATAGTCAGATTCATCACCAAACACCTCTCAAGAATGCCCATTGGAGCATGTGGAGAAGCAGGATGGTCCAGGGACCAAGTGGGTTCCAGCACTGAAGCAATCTGAGCAGGCCAGAAACTCTTCCTACAGCACCAGCCCTCACAATGCAGACCCCAGATACACAGCGAAGGGATAAGAAGATATGAGTGCTGGAAGTCATCCTCAAACTCCAACAGAATCGGGAATCATGCTCAGTTCAACAGGCAGGGAATTATCAGACTCTCAAAGACATCATGAGGCTGGAACAGGATGTTTCAACCAAGAAAAACCAAATAAATGCTTCCTTTGTGTCTTGTTTGAGCTTTTGACTTAGATCAAGGAAACACAGTGGGTTGTATTCTCATAACTTTGTACGATCAATGATCCCAGCTAAACTTCTGTTTGCAAGTCTGTCCATACAGGCTGGGCTCCCTAGTGATGATATGAATGATAGTGAATATTTAAGGTATATATTTTAGAAAAAAGGGGAATGGTGGGGACAGGGAGTTCCTTTGAGAGAACGCCAGCACACCACTGACAGGGGTCATTCAGGATAGCCTAAGCTAAAACAACTGCTTCACAAAAATTAAAAGAAAAATGGGAAATAAAGCACAATAATATACAATTAGAAAACATTGAAGCAGGCCAGGCATGGTGGCTCACGCCTGTAATCCCAGTACTTTGGGAGGCTGAGGCAGGCAGAGCATGAGGTCAGGAGTTCAAGACCTACCTGATGAACATGGTAAAACCCCATCTCTACTAAAAATACAAAAATTAGCTGAGTGTGGTGGCGCGTGCCTCCTGCAATCCCAGCCACTCAGGAGGCTGAGGCAGGAGAATCACTTGAACCCTGGAGGTGGAAGTTGCAGTGAGCCAAGATCACACCACTGCACTCCAGCCTGGGCGACAGAGTGACACTCCGTCTCAAAAAAAAAAAGAAAGAAAAGAAAGAAAAGAAAACATGGAAGCATAAGGAAGGCAGGCACGGTGGCTCACGCCTGTAATCCCAGCACTTTGGGAGGCTGAGGCAGGTGGATCACTTGAGGTCAGGAGTTTGAGACCAGCCTGCCCAACATGGTGAAACCCCATCTCTACTAAAAATACAAAAATTAGCTGAGCGTGGTGGTGCATGCCTGTAGTCCCAGCTACTTGGGAGGCTGAGGCAGAAGAATTGCTTGAAACCGCGAGGTGGAGGTTGCAGTGAGCCGAGATCAAGCCATTACACTCCAGCCTGGGCAACAGAGCAAGACTCCATCTCAAAAAAAAAAAGAAAGAAAGAAAACATAGAAGCATCAGGAAGCTGCTTCAGAGAATACTAAGTCTCCTATGACCTCTGACTTTGACACTGAATCTTTTCCTCCTATAGTCCAAAATTTCTTTCCTGTTTCCTTCATTACAATAGGTGACCATAAATCCAATAATAGAGTCTGCCAACATTTCTTGAGGTGATGGGGAAAATGGTACAAATTTCCAAATTAGGATATAAGGAATTGTATCTTCGAATCAAGGGGACTAGCAGGATATTATGAGAACTTTTGAAACTGCATAGTTTCTGGCTGCTGCCTGGCTTAAAGCAGACTGTGTATTTGCTAATATATCTCAGAGGCGACAGAAAGGGGTAGGGGAGTGTAGGGACTCTGGAGTCAGACTGCCTGGCTTTAAATTCCACTTCACTATTTAATAGATGTGTAGCTTGGGCATATTATTTAACCTCTCTACCTCAGTTTCCTCATCTACAAAATAAGGATTATGATAGTTCCTACTTCACAGAGTTGTTGTAAGGATTAAATAAATCAAAATATGGGAAGCACTGAGAGCAGAAAGTGAACCATGTCAGTGATTGCTATTGTTATGTCCAGACAATAAAATCCAAATGAATGGAACTAGAACATAAGCTCTACAAGGTAACAGACAAAATAGGAACCTGACCCCTCAATTACTTTTTTTTTTCAATTACTTTTTTTAATTTTTAATTTTTGTGGGTACATAGTAGGTATATATATTTAGGGGGTACATGAGATGTTCTGATACAGGCATACAATGTGTAATAATCACATCATGGAGAATGGGATATCCATCCCCTCAAGCATTTATTCTTTGAATTCAAATAACCCAATTACACTCTTTTAAGATTATTTTTAAATGTACAATTAAGTTATTACTGACTATAGTCACCCTGTTGTACTATCGAATTCATTCTTTCTACTTTTTTGAATCCATTAACAATCCCCACCTCCCTACCAGCCCGCTCCCCCCGCCCCACTACCCTTCCCAGCCACTGGCAACCACCCTTCTACTCTCTAACTCCATGGGTTCAATTATTTTGATTTTTAGATCCTACAAATAAGTGAGAACATGTGATGTTTGTCTTTCTGTGCCTGGCTTATTTCACTTAACATGATCTCCACTTCCATCTATGCTGTTGCAAATGGCAGGATCTCACTCTTTTCTATGGCTGAATATTACTCCACAGTGTATAAGCACATTTTCTTTATCCATTCATCTTTTGATGGGCACTTAGGTTGCTTCCAAATCTTGGCTATTGTGACAGGTGCTGCAACAGACATGAGACTGCAGCTATCTCTTTGATATACTAATTCCCTTTCTTTAGGGTATATACTCAGCAGTCATCCCCTCAATTCTTTTGTTGTTGCTGTTGTTGTTGTTGTTGTTGTTGCTGTTTCTTAGACAGAGTCTTGCTCTGTTGCCCAGGCTGGAGTGCAGTGGTGTGATCTTGGCTCACTCCAACCTCCACCTCCCAGGTTCAAGTGATTCTTCTGCCTCAGCCTCCCAAGTAGCTGGGACTACAGGCCCATGTCACCACACCCGGCTAATTTTTTGTATTTTTAGTAGAGATGGTGTTTCACTGTGTTAGCCAGAATGGTCTTAATCTCCTGACCTTGTGATCCACCAGCCTCGGCCTCCCAAAGTGCTGGGATTACAGGTGTGAGCCACAGCAACCAGCCCATTCCCTCAATTCTTAAGACTAGCACCTAGCACATAAGCAGGTACTCAATAAAGATCTGTTGAACAAAATCAACATACAACAGATATGGTATACAATGAAACATGTTTTCAGAACTTTGGAAATTCTATTTTGTGCATTCAAAATCTTTCTTCATTGCTTACAAATCTATCAGAAATTAATGTACAAATTTAATCCATTGCTATCCTATGAAAAAGGATAAATTAAAATTTCCTTAAAAACTCTATGTTGAGAATCAGTTCAGAATGCTACCAGTGAAATTCTATTTGAGAACATCCTGAGAACAAAATAAAACTAAGAATGCTCATTCTGGAGCCCTGGCACCCTGGTACCATCGATTCTGATTTGATTACTCTCAGAAGAGTGTCCAGACATGTGGGTTTTAAAAACGTACCACGAGTCACTCCAATGTGCATTTCTGGTTAGAATCAACTAATGTACACCATCATTGAAAGTGCAGTAGGAGAACATTCCATGACAAGCCAAAATGCTAGATGCGGCTGAATGTAAAATGTATCTAGGAGTAGAGTCAGAAACTATGAGGTATACACACCATGTTCTTAACAGCAGTCCTCTGACACAGGTGTTATGTAATGATCCTAGGAATGGGGGAAAATCTCAATAACAAAGTGACTCAGTCTTCCTTCCTGTCCTAGTCCTTTTGGAGACAAAATAAAATGTTCACTTAACTAGTAAATGTCAGCACAGCCTTAGAGAAAGAAAACCAACTGAAGTCTTAGAACCTATAAAGCACTCTCAGTGCAGGCAGAAAGACGCCAATAATGTGGATAAAAGGGTTATCAGAAAAAAAACCACCTTTCCAAATTATACCATCTCTTTCTCTAATTTGGTACTAGGTAGATACTGCCTCATACATAATATATTTCTACCCCTTTTATAGTCTTGACCATTCCTACTCTCATGTGAGTAATCCTAGCAACTGAACCTAATTTTTTCATTCTCCTTTTGAGAGCCAAAATATCCCCCCACAAAAAGCTACACAAGTTAAAAGGTGGAAGCAACCCAAATGTTCACTGAAGGACGAATGGATAAACAAAATGTGCATATCCATCCACACTATGGAATATTATTCTACATTCAA